ATGATTTTCAGAAATTTGATTTGGATGAGCCTTGGTGTGGTTTGGATGTACTTGCTGTTTGGAGTTTGATGAAATTGAGCTCCTTGGATCTGGCTTTATTGTTTTCATCAATTTTTGACATGGTAGGATCATTGTTTCTTCAAATGTTTTGATACTCCACTTTCTCTAGTTTCTCTAGACCACTTGATCCTCAGCCACAGGCCACTACAACTGTGTTCCCTTGGTGACTTTCTTCTGTGGTTTTCATATTAAATCTATTTTCTTCCATATCTTCATTCATAGATTAAACAAAAACTTACAATGACTGAATTTCTCTAATCATGTCTGGTGCATATTATAATTTTAAATACCAACTTTATCACCTGTATAAAAATCCCATTTGGGAAATTCTTTTTTATGCTTCTCTGCTCCATATTTTCACTTAAAAAAGTCTTTGACTATAGTAGCCATTTTATTTTAATGTTTAACATTCTGTTTATGCAATCATCTTTCCCATGGTGAATTTGTCCTACACATATTTTTTTTCTCTTGCTCCAGTGAATACTTAATAATATTTTACTGGATGTAAGAACTGAATTTTGCATTGCTGCATGCTGGATTTTATTTTATTCCTGTAAATAGGGTTGGAAAATTTCAGATCATTTCCTTGAAGGTAAGCTTGATAGTTTTGAATCTCTTTAAAAATCTTCTTAAGGACAAGTTTAGTCTAGAGTTAACTTGCTGTGAGGAAGTTCAGTCCTACAAATGAAGACAACCCTTTCTAATGTCTCTGCTGAATCTGTCATGTGTTTACAGAAGTCTCTCTACACACACTATTGGGAAATCAAAATAGCCATGGTGTGTACTGTTTACTTGCTAGAACGTGTTTTGCATGCAGTTCTCTGATAATGTTCTGATAATGTTCTCATAATGGTCTTTTTGAAAGACCAGTTTTTTCCACTTTATAGATTTTGCCCTTTGGAGGTGCAGATTATAATTTAGCATTTACAATGTCTTTTGTGTTTATGGAATTTTCCACATTGTTCCTTTTTTCCTCTAATATAGTAACCTACAAAACCAATTGTGTTCATGCTCTGAAATCTAATCTTCCTCCTTAAGTTGACAAACCACTGAATACTGTTTGAGCTTCTTTTCTTCTGCTTTATTAAAAAAATGTTTGCAATTATCAGGCAGAACTTCAAGGTTTTCCTAATGCTCATCTCATTATGTTTGCTTCATAAACTTTTTCAGGGAGAAATTATTTTCTTGAGGAAGAAATTCTGAGCTTAGGTATGAATATGTGAACAAAGAGAGTTTATTGACTTTATCAAGTTTGCTGAATACATGTATAAAATGAATTCATTTCATTATTCAATTTTGTTTTTGGTTTCCACATAAGACCAAGAATGTGCAATACTTGTTTTTCTGAATCTAGCTTATTTTACATAACTATATCATCCATTTTCATTCAGTTACTTTTGTTGCAGGTGACAATATTTCATTCTTATGGCTAAATAATACCCTCCTGAGTGTGTGTGTGTGTGTGTGTGTGTGTGTGTGTGTGTGTGATATTTTCTATGAAAATGGATGACATAGTTATGCAAAATAAGCTTTTTGAAAACTCTATATTTCTATTTTGCTCAATTTCTTATTTGTATTCTTGTTATATTCTTTATTCTCCTAACTCTTTATCTGTATTTTCTCATGTTTCACTGGGCTTTTAAAATAATTTCATACTCTGTGAAATAATTTCATATTACTAATAATTTTATACTCTGTGAGCCATGCACAGACAAACTACAAGCATAATAAAACAAAAACGCAATAAAATTAACACAAAATAAAAATTAAAATTATTTCTCAGCTGAGGTGCATCTATAGTATAAATTGAGTAAAATTTCTCTCTGATTTTTTAAGGCTATGTCCCCAGGGGAAGGGTGTTGGGCAAGGGTTTCCCTATTCTTTCATTTGCACTATCCTCCAGGTATTGAGAGAAAATGAGTCACTGATAAAGTAGCTTGAAATTCCTCTCAACCAAGGTGCTCAAGGAATAAACTAGGGTGGAATATGTGGGCACTAGATAGGGTTTTTTTAAATTTGTGTGTGTGTGTGTGTGTGTGTGTGTGTGTGTGTGTGTGCACTCGTATGGCAGCTTGGGAGTTTTGTTTGTTTGCTTCTTCACTCCTTAGGCTATGAACCCTGGATGTTGGTACAAAAGCTGAACCTGTTCAAGAACCTCACAGAACTTGTGGGCTGGGCAAGTAGCAAAGCCACAAAGTTCAGCACTGGGAAAGAAACATCAGGAACTGCCTGGCCCACCATGGTGTGAACTCAGTCCTGGCACCCCAGCAAAAGCAGATGCAGTTGCCTCTGCCCTCAGACTCAGTGTGCAAGCTCTTCAGTTCCTGGTTTTAGAGGATGATGTCCCTCACTCCCTCCACCTTACTCCCTCCTGTTCCTCAAGATGTAGCACTTTCAATGGGTCTGTGTCCAAATCACCCCACCAACCCAGGTCTGTATCTAATTCCCTTGCCCACTGAGAAAGTGCAGTGCAACATCACAGCTACCTCAAAGATGGGAATATACAGCCTTAACTTGATTAACTTAGTTAACGTTGCTTCATCCTGCCCCTCCAAAAGCAGTCTTAAATTACTTAGACTATAAAACCCTTCTCCAAATAGTTTGTGGATATAATAGCATGGGAGTTTGTTGGGAGGTTCCTCCAAAGTTGGGTATTCTGAAGACACTAAGTCTCTTATCTAGATCATGTGGACTGAACCTAAAAGTGGGGAATCTTACCTGCAGAACTAAGAAAAAAGAACTAACATGATTTCTTATGTGCCAAAAGCATGATTAACTAACTTTGCTTTAATATTAAAAATTTGCAACCTCTGCAGGTCTTAAACCAGAGTTACCTGAATCCAAACCACAGGCTCTTAATACTTCCTTATGTTATCATTTGCATGATACTTGTAAAAAATCCCAGACTAGATTGCCCAAATTAGGGAATCTCAGTGCACTTGAGCTATATGATAAGTAAGAATAGAATTTAGGGTTGAATTTAGGGTGATTAAGTATATTAAAGTAGAATCATGTCAAAAGAACTAGATGGAAAAAAGGAGTGGCTGAATCAACAACTGAGATTGAAGTGGGTTTTGCCAGTTCTGAATAGGAGTGTACATCTGTATGTAAAAACAGGCTGCCCAAGTTCTGAGTCAAACCAAGTGGGCAGAGCAGAGCCAGGTATGCCAGCCTTGCTGGTATTTATCAAACCATTAGATACACAGGTGTGTCGTGATGGCTCTTCCACGCTATATATCACCTAAGTAAGATATCTGCTAGTCCCTAGTTGACTCTAGC